TCAATCGGGTTTTCCAGGCCCTTAGGCTGACTGCTAAGGAAAGCCCAGGCAAAGTACTGTACTGCTAACCGATTGGCCCAAACTACCGAGATAACAATTAAAGCTGAACCTTTAATTGTTCGTTAAAGCTGAACCCCCTGTGACATGTACAATCACGGGGACCAAGCGAGGGACCACCAGAATAAGAGGGGGGACAATGACCAAGGGGCCAACCCCTCACCAGGTAACAAACAAAAAGGAAAAAGACATCCCTGCAAAAGTACAACGTTGCCAGGAGAAACAGAATTGGCCACTGTGATAATAGGTGACAAGCTGCATAGTACCTTGCGCCTCTACTAGTGACAATACTACCTCCTACTCAAGGTCAAACAGTGGCTATGAAAATCACAGCTCACCCCAAGGGTGGGCAATAACTGAGCAGCAAAAGACCTCTAAGGAGGTAGTCCCTGAACGACTTAAGAAAACCCCAAGCCACAAGGTCAGTACTTACAAGGCACCTAGGGAAGATGGCCCTAGGTGCATGCAGCCCCAGTACTCCGTGAATTACCCCTGGCTTGCACACAATGATCACTACATACAAAAATAGTAACATACATTTTGTATGATCACTACATACAAAATAGTAACAGGAATTGATAAAATCGACAGGGAAGACTTCCTGAGACCTGGAATTTCAAGAACAAGAGGTCATAGATTTAAACTAGCTAAACACAGATGCCGAAGAAATATAAGAAAATTCACCTTCGCAAATAGTGGTAGACGGTTGGAACAAGTTAAGTGAGAAGGTGGTGGAGGCCAAGACCGTCAGTAGTTTCAAAGCGTTATATGACAAAGAGTGCTGGGAAGACGGGACACCACGAGCGTAGCTCTCATCCTGTAACTACACTTAGGTAATTACACTTAGGTAATTACTCACACAGTCAGCTGATCGGCGGCCGCCCTCAAGGTCAGACGCACTAATATTTCTCCTCCAACAATACTGTGTGGTGTTATTACGCTATATATCTTATATACAGACGTTATATATAAGTATCTACATGTTTTGTTCATAACTGTGCATCTAAGCTTGTATGGTGAGTAAAGGCACAGAGATGTGGCTACTCACACAGTCAGCTGATCGGCGGCCGCCCTCAAGGCCAGACGCACTAATATTTCTCCTCCAACAACACTGTGTGGTGTTATTACGCTATATACACACATTATATATAAATATCTACCTGTTTTATTCATCATACTTGTACAAATAAACTGGTATGGTGCCCAAAGACCATCGTGGTAACCAGTAAACAACACCGTCCTCTGCACGGTGGTGTCGTGCAGACGACGCCACCACTCTCACCAAAATGGCGGCTCCAAACCTTCTCTTGCTGTTTATACCCTCTATACGCACGTTATATATAAGTATCTACATTTGTGTTCACCATAGCGAACCACTAAGCTGGTATGGTGAGTGCAGTCAATAAAAGGTGGCCACACACAGTCAAAAGACATCGCCACCACCCTCCCTCCCACAGCATTACACCTCCTTCCATGGCGCACAGCGCTAAATATCACCACAATCCTGCTATTATCAGAACCCTGGTCAGTTTTATCAGTCAGGGGTCTTCTGTAATAATATCATCGCTACATAATAGCATGAACAAGTATAATTTGGCATTTTTAGGCGATGCTGTGGTCACAAGCTGAACAGCAGTGCTGTTAGCTCATGCTGCGTGCGTCAGGCTTGGTTGCTCACTCAATACTGAGGCCAATAACACCCGGGAGTTTGGCCCACGATTTTTTTTTTAAATGGCGTCTGTTTACAAGAGCCCTGATGAAGGTGTGGTGAACCCCGTGTATCCGCGGGCTGTTTAAATCTTGCGTAGTACTCCAACACATCATATGACGTGATGCCCAGTTTACTGGTACAACGTCCAGCACGTCATATGACGTGATGCGCACTTTAAGGGTTAATCAGGGTCTTTTCGTGTCTGTGGCTCTTTTGGCTGCACACTACCTCCTGTGTCCCCTTGTGCGTACAAACATACGGACATAAGTACAGTGGACCTGCGGAGGGCCTATTGGCCCGTGCGAGGTAGCTACTGTTTCTTACCATCCATTCCCACTCACATACATGTCCAACCCGCCCTTGCACCAATCGTGGGGCCCCACCACCGCATTACGTTGTAATTGGTTCCTGCTTGTCACCGGGCCTATTACAGTGCAGGTCATTCCTCCGGTCTTTCCTGATTCTGCTCTTATCCCTTTTATGCCCGTTGTTTCGTGCCCACAATGTGCCGCAAGGGTGGCTTGTGCCACTATCCCAGTTTCTATTGTTTCGTGGGGATTGGTCAATAAACGCAAACACTGAGGAACTACTTATCTTTTGTTGCGTATTCAGTAGTTGTGGGTGATATTTTGGCGGGCAATGGTGCGGGTTGGGAGCTCTGAGTGTCGGTACGGTGTCTCGCATGTCTGTTCTAGACCACACTTGCAGGTAGTCTAGTTATTCTTCGCTACTCAGCTGGTTATATGCTTGGGTGCCGCCTCACAGTTCTCCACAGGTTGGCAGGACTTTTCCTTGGGCGTATGGAACGGTTTGAGTTCCATCGTTGGTACTTTGGAGAGCTTTGCTTCTCTGGTTAGGCTCATGCGTTTGGAGCGAGTATCTTCTTGGGATACTCTATTCACTCCGCCTCCCTTGTTCACTGTTCCATCCTTGTTTACTCTTCCCCGCTTGGCGGGATTGCGTCGATGGCTCCTGTCTGGGGTGTTTGGTGTGGTGTTTGGTCGCCTTGCATATGTCTTTAGTGCCTTTTTTGTCCATCTTTTGTTCTTTTTTGTCCTGTGGGGCTCTGCCCCGCATTTTGGTGCTTTTGTTTTCGTTGTCGGCCCCTGGGTTTTTTCCGTCTCTACACTTTCCTTGCCTATCTTCGGTGCCTGACTGCACCCTGCTGTCCGTAAGGTCCCTCAGGTATGTACTCGCTCCTCTACACATTTTGTAGTTGGTCGTGTGCGTTACTTCCCGGCCGCTCCTTGGGCCGTATTCGTGGTTTCCTTACTTATTTCCATTTTTCCTCCCCATGCTACAATTTTTTGTGTGTCTGGGTCAGTGCTTCTTGGTTATCCTGTTGGTGCTCCGGTGGGCCTCTGTCCATGTTCCACGTCCTGCTTTTGGGCTTCTCCGGTGTTACGTTTTGGTACCGAGTTCCTGCGATTTCTGTGTGGTGTTCTGCAGGCTTCGGGTTGTGCTGTCTGTGGAGGGGGTGTGGACTTTTCGGTCTGTCGCTTCTGCGTTCCTGGTTCCTTTTCTTGGAACCGGGTTTGCTGGGTTCGGGTCCTGGTTTCGGTTTTTTTGTTCCTTTTCCGGACCGGGTGTGTTTGCTTTCCTGCGGTTCTCGTCCTCGGTAGTTATCCTCTTGGATGCCTCGGGGATGCGTGTCTCATTCTTCCCTGCTGGAGATGGTTATGTTGCTCCTTTGGGTTGAGGGGTCGCTGTTTTTAGCTTCGCGTTTTGCGAATCTGAACACAGGTCCCAGGTTATTGGTCTCCCACCTGCGTGTTTCGTCTCGGGGGCAGTGTGTGGTTTTCCTATCATTGCGAAGGGTCCTCTGGTCTTTGATAGCGTTGGCTTGTCTTCCCTTCGGGGTTGTTCTGGGACCGTTGTCTCGGATTGTCCGGTCACCTCATGTTGGGTGGTGCTGACAGAGCCGCTCCTGCTTGCGTTCAGTGTTGCGGTTCCTTCTGCTCCATTCCAATTGCTGTCCTGGGCATTGTTCCCCTCTGGCTTGCTCTTGAGTTTTGGGGCCGTCCTGGTCATTGGCCTGGGTGATCTTTTTCTTCTCGTTTTGGTCTTTGTTTTGTCTCTGGTTTTGGTTGTTCAGTTAGGACGTGTGGTATCCGCCTCCCGGGTCCTTCCCTGTTTTACTTATCTTTGGGGAGGTAGCTCCGGGGAGCTGACGGGGCTCCCCCAAGAAAACCAGCGTTGAATGTAATGAAACACCATTTTCTGGGTGAGTCCCGGAGGCTCCCCGGCATCCCACCCTCCCGCCTGTCGGCGGCATTTTTCGCGTATTTGTCATCCAGCCTAAGAACTGCCAGTTGGATCGCCAGTGTTGAGGGTCTGGGGCTCCCCCTTCCCCCTCTCGGGGAGGGGGGGTTGCGCAAACGGTGGCGCGGCGACGTGATGACGTCATGCTAGTTTGATAATTTTGTTTGGGGAGTTTTGTCCACTCGTTCGGCTTTCAGTAGCAATAATTTCACCAGAATAGGGGTTTGTTTTGGGGCGCCTACCTTTCTGGGTGCCTGTCCCGGTTGATGGCAGACGTAGAATGCTTCCAATCACAAGGGGGTTTCTATAGGCCATTGCTCCTCGTGCCTCTCTGAGGGGGCCAGGTTCTGGCTCGTGATCCCCGGTAGGCAAAAAGTCCTAGCACTTTGACTGATGCCAGAAAGTTATACATATCCATTCAGCCTGGATAGCTCCGGGGAGCCTCCGGGACTCGCCCAGAAAATGGCGTTTCATTACATTCAACACTGGTTTTTGAGTCATAGAACTCAATCGAATTGACTGATGCCACAATCTAATACATACATATAAGCCTGGTAAGCTCCGGAGAGCCAGAGGGGCTCTCCACAGAAAATGTAGATTTCGTATAGGACTTGAGTGTTACCATCTTTCATTATTGCGATTTACAATTGAAGTTCCTGGGTTTTATTCCTGGGCGGGACAGAAATGGTTGCCATGTTTTCTTTCACTCACACAAAATTAACTACTACTGTCCATAGAGGACAGAACTTTCACAACAGATGTGACCTTTATGGAGTAATAGCAAGATAGCTTCAGGGAGCCACTGGTGGCACCCTGCAGAAAATTCCCTAAACATATGTCAGCAAAGGCAGTTTTAAATGAAATAACTAATATTTATTCATCGTTAGGTATTGAAAGTGTTTAGAAATTTTATCACAAAGTTGGTATATATGTATTGTATTTTGCTGTACCTGAAGATGTCTCTTGGCAGAGATGTGCAGACCTGCTGATTGAGTGTTGCAAGAAGGTCAACATGATCACTATCTTCGACATCAACTCCAATGAGGGCATGGACAAGTATATTCTGTATGCCCTGCTCACAGGTACCTATACTTACATAATATTTATTATATTAAATATAATTTTCTTTTATGGAATATATTGTGGTGATGTTGGATATCACCCCACCATTGTGGTGTGAGATGTTGGATATATTCACTTTAGTAATGGATGTGATAAATATACTGTGCTATGCAATGGGATAACATAAAGGGGTAAGTATTGGAAGATAGGTATACTGTGGCAGGGGGATGGATTTATACTGTAATAAGAAATGTAGGAAAGGTACACCGAGACAAGTGACAGTATAGATAAAATGTGGCAGCCAATAGCTATATCGTGGTATGATACAGGGGGATCAGTTGTTCTTCCTATACAACACCAGAGACTCTTTGTAAATTCATTTGAATCCCCGGTTTCATTACTTATGCACATTGTGATTCAGTGGTTTAAGGCGTGCACTTGGGAGTACTCATTGTGCAGGTTCAAATCCTCCTCATGGCTTCAATTGATTTTTTCAATATTTATTATTAAACTAGCATTACCCGGCCACGCGTTGCTGTGGCTCAGCAACGCATGTGCGGTGTGAGCCACAGCAACCTTCCCTGTTCCCCAGTCCTCCCCACCATTCTCCTCCCCCTCACCCGTCTCCTCGGCCTCCCAACCATTCCCCACTCTACCATCCCCTCTTCTTTCTCACCATGCCCCACTCCCCTGTCCCTTTGTCCTCCCCACCATTCTCCATTTCCCCATCCCCTCGTCCCCACCATCCCAAACTTCTCCGCCCCCTCATCATTCCCCACCATTACCCCCTCCCTTGTCTCCTTGTCCTCCCCACCATCTTTCACTTCCGTCCCCTCGTCATCCCCACCATTCCCCACTCCCTCGTTCGATGCCTTCCCAAATGGTCTGATGTTCCGATCAGAAAATTGGGATATCGAGTGATCTGATGTTCCCATCACTGAAATACTGTCTCCACTCGATTATCTGGACTATATGGGAAGGACCCCCAGCCGGATAATCACGTGTTCCGGATAATAGTACTTTACTTCCGGATAATTGAGTCCAAAAGTGACCATTTCCAACTATTTTTACACTACAAACAACATAATTTGAATTGCCTTGCCACATATAATTATTAAATATTCAACTAGAAACCTCAACTTACCTTGTTGTTGTTCGTCTTCTTGATTGATGCCACACATCTTGAAGTTAAGAATTCTTGACAATTTACGTAACCTATACTAACACAACACTAAAATTAACACTTAAAATTACTGTACAGTTCATTAAGCAAAGTTAGTTTTGACTGCCAGCTGCTGAAGCCTCACTGGGTGAGGCCTGTAAGGTCTTACTGGTTGAAGGCGCTTGACTTGCCTGTGGCGCCTCACTGGTTGAAGGCGTTTGGCTTGATTTTCGTACCATATAAGAATCAAGTTTAGATTGCCTTCTGTGCTCATTGGCCTGTTGTATGATCAGCGCTTTGGTTCGCCTCAGGTACTGATACATGTTTCCAACTTCTGGATGAGCACAACTGGATGAAAAATTTATTAATCCATCAACATAGGTCATGAGTAAACTGTATTTCATGGTCAATGGTGTTGGTTCTTCACTGCCTTCTTCATCCTCATCTTCCTCGACCTCACCAGTAACAGACTGGAGAATCTCATCTTCACTCATCACACCATATCCTGGGTCATTGGCATCTTTTTCAAGCCAATCAACCACATCATGTCTTTCTAAGTTTTTGCCGGCATTTCTGAACATTCCATGGATTTCATCTGTAAATCCTTCAAAATCAATTTCTTCATCCTCCTCATTGCTGACTGTAGACGTGTGGAGTTTTTTCCAGAAATTCTTCAAAGTCGATTCCTTTACTTCACTCCACACCTTGGCCCAGTTATAGATGGCTTCCTTGATTGTATAGTTCTTCAAATTTTCAATTTTTTTTTTTTAGCCCCTGTTATCCACACCGAATTAAAGATCTTCCGGAAGAGGTAAGACCACCAAAACTTCCTTGAGCATCTTTTTGGTGTACAACCTCTTCGTGGCACAGATAACTCCCTGATCCATAGGCTGGATGAGAGAGGTTGTATTAGGAGGAAGTGCCATACGTTATTTTGCCATCATCTGAGGTTAATGTGTCAATTCTGGGGTGGGCAGGTGCATTATCAAGCAGCAGCAAAGCCCGAACTTCAATTGGCCTTACTTTGAGTTTCTTTACTTGATAGTCACGAACTTCCCTGCAGAATACATCATGAAACCAGGAAAGAAAGATCTCCTGTGTAAACCATGCATTCTTTGAAGTATATTTCACTGGCAGTCTGTCCAAGCAATGTTACAAGGCTCTTGGTTTCTTTGATTTGCCAACAATTGCACGCGTAATTCTGTCTGTGCCATCAGCATTCACACACATCATGGCTGATAGCCTGTCTTTGTTAACCTTACGGCCTGGCACACAACCCTCACTCCTCATAGCTATAGTTATTTTCTGGTAAACTCCTCTAATACAGCCCAGTTTCATCTGCATTATAAATTTGATAAGAATATAAATTATTTGACAAAATGTATGTTTCTTAATTTATGTTTAATTGGTTCTACACTGCTAGTATCTGCACTCAATTTTTTACCGACAATTTTCCTCTTCACAATATTGTGCCTCCCTTTGAACCTTGCAACCCACCCTTCACTAGTTTGGAAATCCTCTATTCCAAGGCTTGCAGCAAACCTGCTTGCAGCATTTTGTATTTCTGGGCCGCGAATTGTCACGCCAGATGTGTGGTGCCGAGCAAAACATTTGTACACAGCCTCATCCAACTGTACATGCATAGAATTTTTCAAAGTTTTTCTACCACACCCTCTGCTAGTGCTTGCACCTTCACTCTCACTGGTTGAAATGTATTTCAGATATTTCTCTTTTTGTTTCCTTATATCAGAAACAGTACTAGTGCCTATATTAAATTCCTTGGCAACACTTGAAGTAGACCGGCCATTTTCACAAAGTTGTATAACACGTAACTTGTCCTTAATTGTTAGGACAACCTTCTTCTTCTTAACACTCCAGAACGATTGATGCTGCTACCAGACATAGTCTTGGCCAAAAATGTGGAAAGTTACTATGAAAATATAAAAGTTATTTAAAAAAATATTTCACTAATAGTGAGACACTGTGGTATAACACGAGGGACGAGAGCACATGGTTTGACCAGGGCTGGACAGGTCCACTTGGGGCTTGAAGGCATTTTGCATAGGCTGCCAGGAGGAAAAAAAATCACAATATTTTTTAAGGAAACTTCAGCCTTTGCAAATTGTTTTTAGGAAACTTGTATGGTATATTTTATTACATTATTACTAGTATTTCTTTTGTTTTTGGCTGTGATAAATTATTCTAAAACTAATGGTAATTCCTGTACTGTAGTGTATAGGCTGCTCCACATCCGCCTTATCCCCCCCTAGGTGGTCCCTCCCAACGCTTCACACTCTCGGGACACGACCCACCCACCCCACCCCCTCCAACACCATGTGGCTAGAGCCACAGTCGTATGGGATTAATACGGTACGGCCTGTGGCCTGGCTTTCGTATCCAGACAAATCACTGCTTGTCCGGCTGACTGTCCAGATAGCGCAACGTCAGCAGCAAGTTAACCAGCCCAGATTTTTTATCCAGTCGAACACCCAATTTTCTGGCTCCTATGGACATTTTTGCCGGATATTGAGAACTTTATCCGATCACGACTTTGGCCGTATAAGGGTGTTTTCCAGATATTCGAATCACAGATAATCGAGTGTCTACAGTATAAGAAAAACAGTTAAAAAATGAAATGAAAATATGAAAAAATACAAAAATAAACTAACGAAATGAATGGTATGGTAAACAACACAGCTCAATTCCAATGCAATTCACACAAAATAATAAATCTAAATGAAAATAAATCAAAATCTATGAAAATAAAATTTATCAATGCAATCAGAAACATTGAAATAGAATTGTAACATACAAAGTATAGCGTGCATGTTGCTATTATGTGCAACAGATGGCGCCATTTTTCAAAAACGCATGTTTTTACCTGTCATAGGGCTGGCATCTATACAGTAGGTATATAAAAAGATGCACCTATTCGAATGCAACGTTATCAAAATTTCAAAGCAATCGATGAAGAAATTTCGGAGGTTACAGGGTGTGTTGCTCTTACGTCCAACAGATGTCGCTGTTTAAAAAAAAAAAGTTTCTTGGGGGAGCCCCTATGGCTCCCCGGAGCTATCCATGGCCGATATGAATACCCTAACTATTTTGCATCAGTTGATGTGGGTGGAGTTCTAGGCCTACCGGGGACCACTAGCCAGAACCTGGCCCCCCTCAGAGAGGCATGGGGAGCAATGGCCCATAGAATGCACATGTGATTTGGAGCATTCTATATCTGCCATCTACCGGGACAGGCACCCAGAAAGGTAAGCGCCACAAAACAAACCCCTATTCTGGTTAACAACGAAAATCGACAAACGAGTGGACAGAACTCCCCAAGAAAAATGAACAAACAAGCATGACGTCACATGAGCCGCGCCGCATGTCTGCGCAGCTCCCCCTCCCCAGGAGGGGGAAGGGGGAGCCCCAGACCCCCGCACCGGTGCTCCCTGCCCCAGTTCCTTGGCTGATGGGATAGTGCATGGTCGTGTGGCTCCAGCTCCAGTCTTGTCTCAGTGCTGTGACTTGTTTTCAGTGCTGCTCTTACGGTGGTCGTGTGAGCTGGGAGTAGTTTTCTCAGGTACTCGGGCTGCATGTGCTTAGGGTCACCTTCCGTGAGTGCCCTGTAAGTACTGCCCTTGGGGCTTGGGGTTGCCTTCCTGAAGTCACCTTGGGTCTACCTCTGTTGGCTTTTCGCTGCTTGGCATATGGCCGCCCCGAGTGTTTGGGGGTTTTCCTCCCTTGTTTACCTTGGGGTAAGTGGTAGTTATAGCACTGGTGGGGCGCAGGGTACTGCATAGCTAGTTTTCACCTTTAACAACGGCTGGCTCTGTTCCCTCTGGGTACATCGTCCACGTGTGT